TTTATTACACCACTCCCACTGTAAGATCACTTCTAGGCAAAATCAAGTTGCAAACCACACACACACACACACACACACACAGAGGAAGTTACATTAAATCCAATGAATTTAAGACCTTCCAGATCCTTCTTAATTTTAACTGGAAGATTGATTTCACTGGAGTTAATCCCATAATGGGATTTTTTTAAAAGAATTTCCTGAGAGGTAGTGTTAGCATTATGAAAACACAGTGGAGCAAGGCAGCAGAGATTACTCGGCTACATGAACCCGGCTTCCACTGTACTCACTGCTAAAGCTTAAAACCACCTAAAGCTTGTGGTACCTTTAGGACTTCCAGTGAGAGAAGTTACGACATTTCCCCTCTCCTCCCCACTTTATATGCAAGTCTGGTCTTCCATTAGCATGAAACCCACAGCATGTTTCTTCATTTGCAAATTCTGACAGATTTTAATAACGTACATGCCATGGTTCTCTTCAAAGTAGCCTTTACGCATCCTACTATTTCAAAAGCAAGCGTCAACTAACACACTTCTGTAAAAGTGTAGGCAATAGGAATAAAGGACAGTCTCACTAGACTACTTTAAGTCAAAGTTGCATATTGGTCACTTCTTGGTGAAAGTACTACTCACATACACCAGTGATTGTCACCGGAGGATTGTCTTCTGCTAAAGATACCAGTTTAAGCACATATACAAAAATTTAAAATGCTATTGAAAACTGTGGGTTGGAAACAGGTTAGCTTGTTAGAACAGCTGTTTGCACTGGAAGAAAAAAGGTTTCACTGCACTACCCGAAGAAAGCCTTTGACCACAATCTGAATCGGGAACAGTCCTTTAGTAGCCACTTCAGCTTTTCCACACACAGGGACTAGGTGTTTTTATCTGGCATCTCAAATGCTATAATATTAAAGATTAAAATCACCTTCCAATTGTAATACATCTGCATTATTCAAAGATTAATTATAATCTATTTTAGGCTAGCTCTCACCACTGTTTTGTAATACAGAGCTTAATTCTTAAGTATGCTGAAATTGCACCTTAAGAAAAGCCCTAATTTACTAATGGGATATCTATAAAATTGCTTTTGTTGAATTCTCACAGAGGAAGCTTTTTAATCCCAAATTAGCTACCTTAAGGAATACAGTTTTTAAATTACCACTACTAGTGACAGAATTGGGTGCATTCTTCATCCCACTAAAAGGGGGGGCAGGGGGACATGGGACCAAAACTGAAACATTTTACTTTGGATGGCAGAACAATACAGGATATGCTACACTTGGAACCAGCAACTCAAAACCCCATATAGTTCCTGGCTTTCAGTGACTGACTGTGTTTACGGAAAAATCCCTTAAACTACTATGACTACTAACCCATCAGTTTAAAAATACATACTGAATTATCTATGAAGCATTTCCAACATTTTTAGATCTAAAGTATTTAAATGTTAAACAATCTCAGGTTAGATTCAGAAAGATTACACTCAACATTCACCTCACATGGAAGCAGACACTAAAATTGAAGAGTTGAAACCCACAACCTCTCTAATAATTGCAGATGAGAAGTCAATTAAACAGTCTACTGAAGTTGGATTTTAGGTACTGCAAGTCATTTAAGTACTAGAATGTCTATTTTTACTTACCATTATCTTCTGGCAGTCAAATGTCATAGGCTATTCTACTGGCTGTGTAGCAGAACTAAGAATGCCTTTCGTAACTTCCTTGGTGCAAAGAAAATAAGCAGTAAGATTCAACGTCTTTTCTACATGTTAGTGGCCAAAACAAGTAAAATTGTATTGTCACACCAACTGTGCACACAGAGCTAGCGAACTGTCACCATTAATGAGCCAAATCCATCAGACTAGAGGGAATCCAGATTTCTGACACTGCAAGTTTTACCTAAATGACTGTCAGAAAATAAGTGTTGGCTTTGGATTAGGCACAAAGTTTCATGAACATTCAGGAACGAAACAAGTCTTGGAACTGAAATGTATCTTGTCATTCAAACTTTAAATATTCAAGCTGTATTTAATTACCTATTACCTACATACAATGACTGTGTTTTCTAGACTGTCACAGATGGGGGTTTTCGGACGGGGGGGGGGCTTTTTTGGTTGTTTTTTGGTTTTGTTTTGTTTGTTTGAAAAAAAGCTTTTACCAGGTACCTGGAAGTCTGACCATCTAAAGAAGCTTTCATGAAGATAGCTTTAAACAATCCACGTAACCCAGTGTTTCCAGATGAGCTCAGCTGTACAACATCCACTCGAGAGCTGGTCATTTAAAATATGCACCTTTGTGGAAAAAGCTAGTAACCAGTTATATATTGGCAAGGAAAAGATATCATTACATGAGACAATCATCCCTCTCTCCAAATTCCAAGTAAACTAACAAGCTAGTCCTAGTGGCACTTTTTAACAAATCTATCTATTGTAACAGTCAAGGCAAAGAAGCCCCAAAGAAAAGTCACTCTTCCATCATCTTTGTAACACAAGTCAAGTGTAAGTAAACACTTGCAAAGTCTTGACCAGAAGACCATGTGAAAAATCAGTCTCCCAGAAAAGAGTTTAACATCAAAGCTTCTAGAAAGCTCTGTTTGTTTGCACTAGATAGCTGTAAAGTAACAATAATTTATTCCTTCTCCCTCCACTACCCTTATTAAGGATCAAGGAATCCTCAGCTCGACTTCCTCTCCTGTTGCCACATACCATTTTTATCTGACAGAGCAAATGACAAAGTACAATCTGGTGTTTCCTCTGCCCAACTAATGCAACTAGCTAGCCCCAGCCAAGATATGTCATGTGCTGGTGCTGGAGTTAATTCAGCAAGACACTCGGGCGAAGACAGACTTTTAAGTCCATCACAGCCAGTCAAAGCAGGGATTCTATAAGCTTCAGGCTATGAACACAAACTCAAGCTCCAACTTTACCGAATTCAGTTCTCAGAACACTACGTTGTAAAGTTTATTGCCTTACTGCCTACTTCCAAAACTTGTTATTCCATTTTAAACAATTAACATTTTCCACAAAGTTTTCACTAATGCAAGTGAGGGAATAACAGTCTTAGTTTTGTGGAATGTATCAATTTGAACACACTCTTTTCAGAAAACGTTACACGTGTTTATGTCCATGTTGCCTTTCCATTTTATTTCTTTAAAAAAAAGTCTCCCCTCACTAATGTATGGAAGCATCGAAATAACTGCTAGGTTGAACAGAAGAGTTAAGCCTCTGAAGAATTATCAAAAGCATAAGGGAAAAAAAAAAAGAGTTGCACCCATATATAACATTTCTGTCCTGAAATGTTGGGACTCCTACCTTCAGAGGAGGCTAAATTTATTTTGGACTATGTCATATCCCTCACCCCCAACAAGAACAGAATTAGTATTCCGTATTTTAGATTTTAAGACAGTATTTAGGTAAGAGTTGTACAACGCAGAAATTCAGAAACTGGTCTTATTATCTATAGTAACAGCCTTCCTCCAACACTAAAAAACACAAACTGAAGTTCTGGGTCGTAAGAAATCTCCTCTTTAAAGACTGAAAAAAAAAAGTACAGTTGTATGTCCTATATGAAACCCTTCAAACAAAAATGAATATTAAAACAAGAGAATAATTTAAAAAGCTGTGTATTGGAGTGTTTATAAACCAGAAGTGTTAATCAGCAGCAGCAGTTTCTGATTTCTTATTAAATTCAACTGGACTTCAAATTTAGGAACACATTACAAACCAATGTGGAACTATGCTAGCTTATACTCAAACCTTTGCAGGTGTTTCAGTAAAGAAAGCCTCCTATGAGAATAGACAGAGGCAGCAAAATACATTAAGGCAACATTTGCCTTCAACATGCCAAAAAGAACTGCGTGTTCTATGTCCGTTTGTCACCAAAGCACCCCATACGAGATGCGTTATTGCTGTAGAACATTTCAAGTTTACCAACACCCAAGTGCAACCAAACTGATGTTGTATATATGCACTTGCCCATTCTCACCAGTATTTCCACTTAATAATGTTTTTTCTTTACACAATCAAATTTAAAGCTTTCAAAACAACATTTTTTTGATTTTAGTTTTTTTCCCCACGATATTAATCACCACATGCAATTTAGTTTTCTGATCATTTTGCTAAAAAACTGCACCAATATCAGAACAGTGCAAATCATATTTAATTTTAAAAGTTATAATGGCTTGAGTTCATAATTAGAGGGAACACTGTCAAGATCTCAGTATTTTGCTCACTCACCATTGCTTGTATTCCATTAAAAACAAACACTTTCCTGTCAATTTTGTGGATTTTTTTTTTTTCTTTTTTTTTAGCAATAGTCCCCCATGCTTCTTTCAGAGCTGAAATTAAGGATATGATCCACAATTTCAACACACGTAGTGCCTTAATAGCAATGTTTTTATGCCCTTCCATCAACTGTTGTAATTCCACAAATATATTACCACCCCCCCCAACTCATTTCCAGACTAAGAACTAGTCACTAGCACTTGTGATCCCACAAGCGTTTGAATTTTTTCAGCAATGGAGAGATTTCAAGATTAAGAAATCTGAGGACTTCCCCTCTCCTACAGTCCCCAGTGTTTTCATTTTATAGCAAGTTCAAAATTGGTTTCCACATCTTGACAGTGTTCCTTATAAAACCATATGACAGTAAAAGTGCCAGTAGGCATGGCAACCTCTTTGAAGGGAGCATTTAAACTCCTTGGCACTGGGAATGCCAGCACCAAGGATTACATTGAAATTCAAAATTATACTTAAGGCTACAATTAGCAAACCCACTTTCCATAAGCCTAATATTCTATCACTAAATCTGAAAATTCAGAAGCTAACGCAACTGTATACTTTTATGCTCAAATTTGAGGAGAAAGTTACTTTTCTTTAGCAAGGGCAGTATACGAAACTGTGGTAGCAAATGTCTCTTATGCATTGACTACTCATTTCACCATCATTCACTTACTTTGTCTTAAAGTTCAAAACTGGCAAGGCACATTTACATACTCCAATGAATACTTGACAATTTTAAATTACACTTCATGTCCCAGCTATCCCAGTAATTGACATACAACATACTAAAATGGTTTATTAAGATAACAAAAAAAAAAAATTCAATTAATGTGAAACATACAGGCTATTGGCAACCACTATTCTAAAAATTATGTAAATACAAGTAAACATACTGAAATGTGTGCGATTCTAAGTTTTTAACCAGAAGATCTCTGTACTAACACACATTTATATTAATGACACATAAAAAAAATAAAAACTTTATTACAAAAATAAGTTACACTCGCCTCCAGCTTACAGTATAAAACAATTTTATTTGCAGGCATGCATTTTTTTGGAATGCAAAATGATTGTTTGCCATGAGCATTTTCAACATATGACATGTCTAATTTTGTTAAAATTTGCATTTACTGGGGGAACTGGTGTGTATAAAACCTTAATTAGGTATAAGCTTCAATTGTCATTCTGGTGCCTATGGGTATGTAGTATAACTGCAGTATCCCTTTGGGCAGGGGGTTAAGGGAAGCTCTTTATGCCAAGTCATAATTTTATCTATCTTTTACCGATATGAAGATGGACTTGGCAAGGTTCTTTCGGTTTTGCTTTGTCTTTTTTAAGGGTGGTTCAATAGAGGATGCTTCACCACTGAACACTCACTGTCATCAAGGTGCTTTAGAAAATTAAAAACATAGCACAAATGATTGTACTCTACTCTACTCTACAGGTTATCATGATCTGCGTAAGAGAAATGGAAAGCTGATCCACATGTTTTTACAGTGATCAGCAATAAGAAATGCACTAATGAAAACATACCTTTTACCTAAAAAGCTAAACTACAGCCATATACTATTCTATGATTTATGAAAAACTTCAAAATATCCAAATGTCAGGCTTCACTGTACAGTTGTCAGTTTTAGTCTGACCTTTTATAAAGGGACACTGCAGTATTTAGTACAAGTTGCTGATGCACTTTTTTTGAACATCTGATGTCTTACAAAAGTAACATCTTGCTAAACTATTATACATCCAAATAACTACAATATCTGAAGAAGCAAGGCTGCTTTTTCAGCCACAAAATACGACAAAAGCAAGGCCTGTTATGATGGTCATGAGGAAGTCTTACAAAGCCTCTGGAACTAAAGGCAACTAAGAATGTTACATTTGGTATATTATAATCTTACCCTCATATCATATTAAACAAGCCTTGCTTTTATCTACAAAGATTTTCTATGTACAGTACAGACAGGGTATAGTTCAATCCTCTGCTACTGAGGTAGTTAACCAACCCTTTAAAAAAGGTTCTGAAAAGAACCACTATCTGGAATGCCTGACTAACCAGCTCTGATGATTACACCTGAAACTGCTGTATCTGAACACAATTCATAAGTGATTACTAGATAGACAATCATGATTAACCTTCATGAGCAGAAATAAAATTTAAGGATACCAATGATGGTATTCATCTATACCACTGCAATAAAAATTTAAATGCGAGAATTTGTGAATACCACTTTTGGAATCCTTAACTAAGAAAACTTGGGGGAAAAATCTACTTAAAGCAGATTTTTTAAAGAACGACTTTATTCTTTATTAAGATATCATGCTAGATGTTAAGGATTTTGTTGAACACATTGGGGAAATAGAGTAGCTTTAGTTTAATAACTTGCACTGCAGAGAAAACTGTTAAAGAAATTCATTTCAAAGTCCAAGATATTAGTTCAAATGTCCCATATTTGAATCCATGATCTTCGTAGGAAGGTCTTTTGCAACAGAATATGCTCCTATACAGCTGAGATACTTAAGGTTGCTTGATATCCTTACCATTACTCCACTGCAAGCTTCTGGTGTAATCCCACATAGCAAGTCAGTCTTCATTGTAACAGGTCAGGACCGGCCTCGACCCCTTTTCCCTGCTAGCCAGGTAACAAAAGGAATCAATTAGATAAATCATTTTAAACTCTGGTCTGTACATTTGTTAACA